ATCCAAACACTAGACTGATCAAAGACAAGAATTGCGATTTGCTCCTAAGTGAAGAAGAGGAGAGAAAGTGAGAAAGGAGTGAGTCTAACTCACCCGAATGCATGAAATCAGAAGGGGAGAAGTGGCGATTCACATGGGAGTGGAGAGTGAGGCCATGGGAAGATCATTACTAGTGAGAAGAATCCCTACCATCTACTCTAAGCTTAGGAAAGTTCCTATGGAGAGAGAGTGAAGGAGAAGAGAGTGGGATATGGATAAAAGGTCATTGAGAGAGTAGGAGAGGGGAAAGGGAGGAAGATGAAGGAGAGGAGGAGGAAGAAGAAGAAGAAGAAGAGAAGGAAGGTTGGGGAGGAAGGATAAGAATAAGAAAAAGAAGAAGAAAAAGAAGAAGAAAAAGAAGAAGAAGAGAAAGAAGGTTGGGGAGGAAGGAGAAAAAGAAGAAGAAGAAGAAAAAGAAGGAGAGGGAGAAGAAAGGGGAGAAGAGGAAGAAAAAGAAGAAGAAGGAGAATTTCCTCCTTTCCACTCACCTCCTTGGTGTCTTGGAGATGGAGCACAATCCTTGATGAAGTTTCTCTCTTCCTTGCACAAGAATCACCCTGGCTATGGCTCTCTTCTTCCCCAAGCCCTTCTCTTCCTCTTCTCTCAACCTCTCCCAAGTTATGGCAAGCTCCCTCCACTATGGCTATGGAGTCCTCCCCTCTAGGAGGGCTAATTGGACTCTCCCTAGCCTCTCTCTCTTCCTCACACCCTGGGGGCTATGGTGGATCACCTCCCTAAGCGAGCCTCACTACCACTAACCTCTAGACCTCCTTCTCCTAGCTCAAAGTCTCCTCTAAGCTCTCCAACTGGCAGGGTTTCCCCTCTCCTCTCTCCAAGTGAGAAAGTGCTCCTATGAGCTCACTTGGGCAACATGGGCACTCCTCATGCAAATGTGAGTGTGGCGGACTGGATCCGAAGCTTATGTAGGCTGAAACCAGCACTCCGGCCAGCCCATGAGCCTCCCCATGTGCCTTGAGGTGAACCGAGGTGCCCCCAAGGCAAAATTTCACCACTAGGTCCTTTCGGAGGTACCCGAGCCTTATTTTGGCCAAGTACATGCAGTCCGAGTGGTTGGTACCAACTCGGATTGCCTCTTGGCCTCCTTCAGCCTCCTTTTCATCTTCAAATGCTGGCCCTTTAGGTCCCAATGCCCAAGGGGCAGCCTTACTTGAGAGAAAAAGGCCTAGATGGCCTTTTTCTCAATTTTTTTAGTTTCTACCCCATTTTTGGTAGGCCGAGGTATTTCCCCATGCCTCGGCGCCTGTTCAGCCTTGGATATGGCTGAGATCCAAGACCAATAATATTTTGTGCCACCCCCTAAGCTCACTTTTTCAATTTTTTGTGCATCTGGCTCTCTTTTTGGGCCAAATGCACGTTTTTGCATTTTTCCCTCTTTTGTTTCTTTCCATTTTGAGCTGCCAACTCATTCCGAAGCTGGCCGTTTTGAGCTGGCCCACTAAAAACGGCTAGTTCCTCTCCACCATGAGATCTGATCTCAGATCTATGGTCCACAAAAAA